CCACACATTATTTCTGTTTCAGAGATCAGAAAGTGACGCTTTACGATACATCTCAGTCGGTTACGATTATCGGCCTGGACAAAGATGGCTACCTACGAGTGAAAGCGGTTGATACGAATGAGGTGTTCAGTGTACAGCCGGACGGAAACACATTCGACATGTCACGCAATCTGATTCGATGCAAAACTTGCTGATCAGTCGTCGTACACGAATTTCGACGCCACATCAGTATCGTGTGGTGTCGGTCAAGCGTTGCTCATCCATTCTGCTACAGTTTTATTTGACAGCTGACTATCATTAGGCAGCTCTTTGATTTGGCGCACTGTCGCATAATACACAATGTTGTTGTTTTTAAATTTACTATTGTTTCGCGCTCTAAAGTCACCAGTGCATGCTTCAGCTGAATGGAGATGTTATAATTGCACATTAAACTCAATTCAAAATTGGGAACTTCTCTGCCGTTTCGAACATACGTGAAATATATTTTTCAGATATGTTTCAGTTATGTAAATGAACTCGAAACAATTTGTAAGTTTTAACCAAACATTAAAAAATAATGCACTTTTAAATAGGTGAGCCTGGTATTTGTTTGTCTACTATTTGATATTGACTGTGATATAGAATGAGTAAAAGTTTACTATATAAGTTACATGCCTTTCTTAAGTTACTGTTAAATTTTAGCAAAGCTGTTTTCGAAAACTGGGGCTGTGTTACATTGTCATTATTTTGGCTGTAAGTTAGAACTAGTTAGAAACTTATTAAATATAAAACTTAGTAGAAAGCTTCCTTTTATTTAGTAATAAACTTACTAACTTAGGATGTAATTCAGAAGCCTTTCTCACTTACTCAGAAGTTCTGCAAAATCCAGTCTCAGAATATGTTATTAAAGCTATTCGCAAATTAGGGGGTTGTAGGCCGTGTCTTAGCGTAGTCATGTAATCCGCCATCTCGTCGCTCTGCGCTAGAACTATTAACCACTGTGCTCGTCGCCCATTAGAGATTTGTGTAACAACATGGCCGTCAGCAATGGAAACACATTCCGCGTTTCTTAAATCGATAGTTAAATACTGAAAAAGAAACCGATCATCTAGATCAAGCAGACTTTGTTATGCTGCAGAAACTAGCAGGTATATTATGGAGTTATAAAGAAACATGGTATCTTAGAACTAATCAGCAGCTGCAAATTTATCCTTGTGAAAATGAAGTTTCCAAGTGAAACTCGCGCGGTAGTGAACCTGTAGCAGAGTGCAAAAAGAAGCATTTGCAACCATTGAGACATCGTTTCTTTTACACGGTTGGCACCGGTTACTTCACAGCAGTTCGACTAATTGGAGCGTTAGACATGATCATAAACATCCTTAAGATTCTCAGACGATATGTGGCTGTTGCCGGGATCTGCATTTCTTACCGACCTATAATAGCTAATGTCACATGCCAACATACCGACTCAGTTGGTTTTTTTTCTCCATCCTGAAAGGTACTTCATCATATGACTGGAAGCAGTGACTAGCAACTTTATAGTTCAATGTCAAGATTAAGCCAATAAATGACCGTCGCGGAACATTCTGGACTTCAGTTATACTGTCGTCGAATTTTCGAAGCGGACATTTCAGAAATAATGTGCGGCCTAGTCTGATCTTCATGACCGCAGTCACCCCGCGGATTGGACTTCATCTTCCAGCAATTGAGTAGGTGTCCATAGCGTCCTTGTAATGTTCGAATCCTGTTTGATCTCGACCATTCTAGGCGATTCATGTCCATGCCAGGGGGTTCTCTGGTCGGATTGTAGATTAGCTCTTTGCTGTAGCATCCCACTCTGCTCGCCACCGTTCCTGGAGACTCAGATGCGATGTCGTTGCTCGTTCCCATGGAGGGTGGCGTCATTTCAGGCGTCTTGCTAGTAGCTGTTGGAGCACAAGATGAATGGGTAACTGGCGATTACTATCAATGTTCTGGAAAATGCGCTATGCCTGCTCGTATCTCCGGAAGAAGGGGGTTCAGTATGCGTCAGAATCGGTAGCCACTCTGTTTGGGTTGGCTTCGGGGTTCCTATTACTAGGGCAACTGTGGCACTAAATCGGAACAATACAGAATACGCAAACATGAGGACCGTAGCACGCAGTACGCGGGTGCCTGCTGCCCAAGAGGTTCTAGCAAGTTTTCGTAGCAAGTTTATTCCCGTCTTGATCTTCTGCTGTGTCTTATCCAGATGTGACTTAAGTGACGGGGTTAGATCTAGAGTGACGCTCAGATATTTTGGCGTCGTTGCATGCTGCACGTGTTGACCACCAAACTCATTTGTCAGTTTCTCCTTGACCAGTCGGTTGTCCATATGGAAAACCGTCACGTAAGTCATCATCGAGTTGGGTGTAGCTTCCACTCTGATAATATTGCGTCGTAACAGTGAGGTCAGACTTGAGTATGCAGCTCATGCATCTGCAAGTCGATATGTTCGGTTGCTTGCGCGATGTCATCGGCATAAACGAACATTTTCGACACTGTTGGTGGGAAGTCGCTGGTATAGATGTTAAACAGTGAAG